CTCAGCCCCGCCGAGCCGTGCGGGGCCCGCGGGGGTGCGGAGCGGGGCTGGTTCGCGGCCCGAGCCTGCAAGGGGGAACAGCCCTTCGTTCTGCCTCCTCCTCTGAGCAGGTTTTGTTGCGGGCGAGGTATTTTGTGGGCTTTTCTGGCTTCACGCCGCGGCCCACGAGGTCCCGGGCCCGCAGGGGGAGGTGCCGCGTTCCCTCTGCCTCCCGCCTTTGCTCCTCGGGGGTTTGTGCTGCGCGGCCTCAATCTGCTTGTGCTGGTTCTCCAGACCTGCTAAATGCGGCGTTTGCTACCGCAGCCTTGTAGCTGAAGTGAACTGACTCTTCTCGTTAATATATGTATATATAACTTAGCATGTGATGCTAAATTAATGCTTTAAAGCATCGTTACGCCTCTGTATAATCAGTGTGTCCTGGTGGGCATGGTAAAAATCCTGCAGTCTTGCTCTGAAAGCAGCCTGCTTGTCTTAACAGTTTGTTGTGAAAGTTTCCCTCTCTCCGTGTAGGTGGATGTACGTGTGGCTTGTACATACACGCATAGTCTCTTTTTCACCCATTTTTAACCCATGCGCTTGCTCGGAAGGTGCAGAAGGTCTAACTGGTGGACTTGGTCACTGCTGTGCTCTCACTAGGCGTTTCCAGTTTTTCTCTACGGCAGGCATAGCCGTAATCAGTCATTATTCTTACTAATTTCTTACCAGAAATCCTTTTACTTCTCTGTCTCCTTCCTGTCTTACCATTAATAGAAAGTGTAGCGACTGTCACCAGGGATCCTACAACTTTTTAACTGAGAAGAAGGCAGGAAATGCAGGTTCCTCTTATTTCGATTAATAACTGACATATAGGTGAGTTGTCAGCTTAAAAATAGATCTGTGAGAAATACACAGTGCTCTCTGAGTAGCAGTGCTTGTCTTGATATATATTAAGGTAGGTAGAGTAATTTTACTCTCTGCTTCTGTCTTTCTAAACAATTTATCTAACCCTTGTCTTGAAGTATTTCTTCCATTTCCCCTTGCTGTTTTTTGTTAGTTTTTTCGTAATAACAAAGGCTGGTATTCAACTGCAATGTTTAGAAGTAAGCAAACAAAAAAACCCCGGGGAGTCATGTGAACGCCTGTAAGAGCCTTCCAGCCTTTATTCTGTCTTCAGTAGTGGCCAGGAATACATGCTCAGGGAAGATGAGCAGAACAGAGCAACTGTACATAAATGCATCCTCCAGAAATGTATTCAGACACAGGTTGCTGCTCCCTGCTTTCTTCAGCCAAAGGCTGTGTTTTCCTATTTAAAAATCCCATAGTGGATTTCCCCTCTATAAAATTCTTACTTTAACACCTGGAGACTGGCAGCATCTGCAGCAGCCTGTGGCAGCAAGGTCCATGCTGTTAACAGTAGGTCGTGTTGAGAACGTAAGAATGCTCTCTGCTGTGAATTTCCAGGTGATATCTCCATGTGGTGCACCCCAGTTTTTGGCTTGGAATAGACAGTGAGTCGTTGACTTCTGTTCTGCCTCTGCATCTCATAAGCTTCTAAACACCTGTCGGATCCAGGCTGAATAGTCACAGCCTGCTCTGTTACCTCTCGATAGGAAGTGTTGCCATAGCTTAGTTATTTATTGTCACTTTTTTGAAGCTTTCCTCGTTCTACCTTTGAGGCCTGGAGGGTCAGTACACAGGCTGAGTGATGCTTTCTGCATCCTCTTCAACTTCCTAACATCGGTTGTTGGGGAGAGGGACCCACTGCTTCTGTGAACTCAGACCTCTTCCTTTCTCCTCATAACTGTATTTTAAAATACCAAAAAGGTGGTAGTCAGTCCTGACTGGTGATGCTCAGCTCAGAGCTGGTCCTTTCTTATGTGAACTCAAAGTTAGTTTTCCCCCCCAAGTCCACCACTTGACTTTTTTGATTGCAGGATCACTCAGCCTTTTAAGTTCTTTTGAAAGTCTTCCGTAGGCCCATCTCTGTTACCCCAGAGAAGGTATTCATTTGCAAATGTAGATGACACCAGCACTTAACCCTCACATCAAGGCCCATGATGACAGCAAATTCCTTCCTCACTCTCCTCCTTTTCAGATTGTTCAACTGGTGATAATCAGCTCCAAACGTCTGTTTTCAGATTTTCTTAGGCTACTAATAGCATTTGGAACTCCTTGCCTGCTTTGTCTTGCTGGCACTGCATTTTGCAATTTTCTTAGGCTACTAGTAGCATTTGGAGCTCCTCCTGGCCTGCTTTGTCTTGCTGGCACTGCATTTTGCCATAGAATAACATGTATATATTATTTTATTAACTTTAAACATCTGATGATACAGATGGGTGAATAGTTTCATCTGTTCAGGATGACATTATTTCCCAGTGTTTTCCAAGGATGAGCAGTAATTAATCTCCTATTATTCTCCAACTCACCGTTTTGTTTTTTTTTTAGATTATTTTTTCCCTGTTTAAAAGCACCAAATTATTGGAAACCAATTAACATGTGTATAATTCGGTTGTATCAACACCACTCTTACTGGGTTTTTTTGTTTTGTTAAGATGGTGTGGTTGTCTCTGAACAACTGAAGAGCAACAACCTGGATGCAGAAGTTACGGAGTCAGAATTGGAAGCTGAAGAAAAAGAAATAGAGGAAGAATCCACAAAGGAATCCGATAGCAACATTTTGGATGTATCATCTGACTATCTAAGAGGTTTGCTATTAAACTCTTAAGAATATTTGCATTGTTTGCTTGAGAAAAGGTAGAAATAGTGGGGAAGAAAGGTAATGTGGGAAATCTCATTTTCCATGCATCCAGTGGGTATGGATACTTTTCCCCATGCCTCTGAGTGAAATGTTTTCCTAAGGCATTGGAAATATCTTTCCAATGAGATACCATTTTCCCCTCATTGAAATTTCTAGAAATCCCAGCAGAAATTTGCACATACATAGTGACAGAAGAGAAGTCAAGGTTAAGTGAGGTATGATCTACATCAGGCTCTGATGCTCAAAGCATCACAGAGAGCAGAGGGATCTGTTGGATCTAAGTGCAGAATTAAGAGCTAGAAATAGCTTTTAACTCTAGCTTTAAAACTCACCTCTTTATCTTGAGCATATTGATCAATTGCTGGCTTTGATTCCCCTCACAACGAGAATGACCTTGTGGGGCTGGAGCATGTCCAGGGAAGGTCAGCAAAGCTGGAGAAGGGGCTGGAGCACAAGTCTTAGGAGGAGCAGCTGAGGGAGCTGGGGGTGTTCAGCCTGGAGAAAAGGAGGCTGAGGGGAGACCTGGACAGAGGTTGGAGCGAGGTGGGGTTGGTCTCTTCTCCCATGTAGCCAGTGATGGGACTAGAGGAAATCGCCTGAAGTTGTGCCATGGGAGGTTTAGATTGGATATTAAGAAAAATTAATTTGCTGGAAGGATGGTCAAGCATTGGAACAGTCTGCCCAGGGCAGTGGTGGAGTCACCTTCCCTGGAAGTGTTAAAAATATGCGTAGACTTGGCACTTCTGGTTTAGTGTGGGCACAGTGGTGTTTGTCGATGGTTAGACTTGATCATCTTTGAGGTCTTTTCCAACCTTAATGATTCTGTCATTCTACAGAAGAAAACCTGAAGGCTGATCTTGGGAAAACATCATAAAGGTTTAAAATCACTAGAGAATCACTATTACTGTAAACTGGGGTGTTCTGTGTGCTGAAACCAGTTAAACTGGTTTTAGCCAATCCTCCTTTGTGCCCATTGATTGATAAGTTAAAAAATCAGGAGGTAAATTTAAAAGTTAAACAGTCTCCTAAGGGCTGGGGAAGGTATCCTGGCTGTACAGTGAGTAATTGTTACTTACAGTTGGACCACTTCTAGCGGGTGCCTCAGTTTTGCCAGGCAGTTCATAGGATGTTTTTATACTGCTTTGTGTTTGATTTGCATTCACTAACAATGCCAAGCAGTAAAATCAGGAGTACATGGAATGTGACTTGTTTTTACAAATGCGGGTCTTTCCAATTTGAGAAATTTGATGTGTGTCAGCATTGAGAAGCAAGTAAAAAGATACGGAAATACATGAATCTTATTAAAGAACTATTCTAGGGATTAGTTTTGTAGTCGCTCCCTCTACCAAGGAAATTAATAGATACAAGCAAGTGTTCCAGTTGGGACTACACTCATTCTCCCGTAGTGTTAGATTTGAAATGATGTATAGAAAAGCAGCAGTAAATTAAAAATAATTGTTTAACTAAAAGTGTTTAATTTCTCAATATCTGTGCTTTTCAGAGAAACATATTTCAATTCAAAGACACCTTGCTGACCTAGCAAAACTAGCTGACCTGAGAGAAGGTGAGTGTACTGTGGCAGTGTCCCAGAACACAGCTCTTCGTGTTACAGGTATTTACGTTTTTTTTCTTAGCTTGTATTTTTGAAACACCAAGCATGTTTATAATGGTTGAACATGAGGGGTGTCACAAAAAGTAACTTCATGATTTTACTTTCCTTACGGAATGTTGTAGTTCCTTCAGTAAATTTAAGGCCTTAATGATTCCTTTTCATCTTTTTCCTCTGCATTGTATCCCTACTAACCTTGGCAATGTGCAAGGATCAGCAACATGTTGTAGTTTGTAGTCTCATTTTATTTTACTTCAAGTGCCACAGTAACAGGGAAGCGAAGTGTTGTCTTTGCAGTGTTTAAATTTCAGTTTGAATAAATACCTAGTCTGGTTTGGATGTTTTCTTCCCCTCTGTTTTAAGGAAATCATCCAGGTCTGCAAGGGCTCTGCATCACACAGCTCTTGTGCCTTAATCGTACTTTAGAGTGGCCACTGGTGGAAACAGTAGCCTACCTTCATGTCTCTATAATTTTACTAATAAATATACAAAATACTTCAATAGAGTTTGTTCCACCTTTCATGAGATAGATCATAAGTGTCCAGTAAGTCTCTGGTACTTGGAGCTGTTGCTCTATGTAAATCCATGGTAGTGAAAAGAAATTCATTATTCCTTTGTCTGTTCTCAATAGGATTATTTTTTTTTTTCTTCTACCATCCATGTTAATGACCTGACTTGTATTTATTACCATCATCTCATGTATTTGATTTACTCAGTAAATCATCTTTTTTACGGCTTAAAAAAGATAATAGGTGCTTTTTTCTATGTAAAAGATTCACACTTGGGGGTTTGTTTGAAACATTGCAAGTCTCTAGACTTGAATAAAATTCTGTTATTCTGCAGTACTCAGAAGTTTCACTGGCCTCGTGTTGCTGGAGTGAAAAATACTAGAAAACAAAAACTAAAGGCTCTAGGAGTTGATATGTAAAGTAATAGTGGGTCTTGTCTACCTTATGCAGAGCAGAAAGAGGCAATCCATAAATGTGAAGTTTGTGTGTGCCTGCAATAGAATATTCCCTGGGGAATGAATCTCTACGTCCCATTGACAGAGAGACCCTTTATTAACCCCCCCTTTTTTTTTCCTCTCTTAACATGCATCTCTGTTACCATCAGTAGTAACTGCATTGCAGATGTTTCTCATGCTTCTTCTTTACCTGTGTTTTCAGAGGAAAAGAAGCCTTGTCCACTGTGTCCTGAGGAGAAGTTCAAAGCTTGTTATGGTCATAAGCTCCATCGTCACCTTCAGAATTTGCACTGGAAAGTTTCTGTTGAATTTGAAGGTAATGGCAGTCATATTTGAATAGTAAATACTGAAAGAAATTGTGGACTTGTAGGACGTTGTTCTGTGTTTCATCTTCTAAAATTCCTCCTGACTTAAGCATCTTGTTACCAGCTTTGAACTAGAACCGTATTTTGACATAATGAATTTTGTCCTGAAGTGTAAAATACAAATGTAAAATAGCTCTGTGTTCTGCAAGCCAAAGTAGTTACACTTGTGCTTTTTCTGTTTTTAAAGAACTAGGTGTATGAGTCTGTGGGAAATAATTAGAAGATGGACAAGATTAAAGTTAAAATTATCTGATTGAAGCTCTGGTTTTGTGTGCACTAGGAGATGCACTTTTTGTTGTGTTTTACTGTGTTGGTTTGGGGGGTTTTTTTGTCTTTAAACCATGGAACATATTTTTAATAGGAGCATTCACAGAAGTATTTTAGCCAGGTAACAATGCTTTTGTAAAATAGTCACAAGTACTTTTGAAAGTTATATACCATAGAGCCTGAAGACTTGCCATAGAGTGCTAACAGGCTTATTAAAATTAACTGCTTGTATGTAAGTTTTTCATGTTTTAAAAATTTGTAATGTGTAATTAGCTTATAGATTTCTCTGTGTGGAAGGTGAGTTTGTCATATAAATGGTAATGGCCTCTTGGTGCTGTCTTTAATGTGGGTAATATTCGGGAATTTGAAATGAGACCATGCATTAAAAATAGGGAACATTTTTATTTTGAGTTTGTGGTGCAGGACATATGCATTGTCTTTACTTACTTTGCTGTGATGTGACAAGAATTTGTTTTCCAGGGTACAGAATGTGCATCTGCCACTTATCTTGTCATCCAGTAAAACCAAACCTCATTGGAGACCAGGTAAAAATGCTGAATTGCAGAACTACTTATCCTACCAACTGGGGAAAATGGGTGATTTAGGACAACTGTTGTGATCTGCTTAGTCTCAAAATACATCTTGCTACCCAGTGTGAGATACCAGAAGTTTTTCAGTCCAGATAAGAAGTATCTGATACAATCTTTGAGCAGTTGAATTTAGTTGTACCTCTCTCTTCCTTCGGTGGGTGGCTGGCTGGGTCACGTGGGACACTGTCCCACTTTGGAGTAAGCAGCAGCTTTGTGTGGAAGAGAGGAAGGGCTTGTTAGGCCAGACAGTGGGTGCTGCTCCATTCCTTCTCTTCACGGTAAGTGTGTGGAGAATTGGCAGAGGTGAGTGGGTTGTGGTGCTGTGCCTGGTTAGTTGTGCTGTACTGGCTCTGCACATGTGGTTATTGACAGTCTGTGGCTGTAGACTGAGTATTTAGGGTGTGCTGGAGGTGACCAGACAGGTGACACTTCTTCAACTACCTGTGTACAGGAATAGTTCTACTTTTGCCATGTTTCTGTATCCTGACACTTCATGTTCTCTGTTTTGCAGGCATTCTCAAAGATGGGAGCCCATTACCACTGTATCATCTGCTCAGCAACCATCACACGGAGAACGGACATGATAGGTCATATTAATCGTCATGTCAACAAAGGAGAAACTGAATCAAGGTTTATTACAGGTAGGTTCTTCCTTTGAGGAAACATTCCATCTTTTTATACTACCTAGCATGTGGGATAAGTATGATGTGGGTGAGAGACATGAGAAAAATTCCAAAACAAATGTAGATAGGAGAAAGCTACCTCTAATATTTCAGAACTGTTTTCTCCTCAAAGGTGTAGTTAGCAGTGTTGTGATGTAGTTTCTGTATTGATCAGCTACTCTGTTCTTACTGATAAATAATATTCTCATTAAATCAGTTTAATGTTTAAAATACAGGTTTCTGTCTCCAAAAGAATGGAGGATATAGAATCTGTGACACAAAATCTGTATAGAGAATCTGATGCCTATTTGGCTGTGTGTGTTTGTAAATCAGTCCTGAGTAAATCTCTGCAATCTGAAAATACTTTGCTAGTTATCCAGCCTGTATCAGCATGGATTCACAAAAAAAGGTTACATTTTCAGTCCTGGAGAGTCATTACAGAGCTGTCTGTAGTTCTTTGGTAAATGACAATCCTGCCTAACTTTCTCAGACTTTTTGTTTCTAAACTTCTTAAACTGGAATGTAAGCATTTTACATAATTGGAATGCCAAATCTTTATTTTTGCAAGTTAGCTGTTGTCTACTGCTGTCAAGTAAAAAGTACATTATTGATAAGCTGGTGTGTAAAAATTAAGGGTTTGTTGTTTTGGTATTTTTGCTAAAGTCCAGACTGCTACTGTTGAAAACTGGTCTGTGTACTCGTACATATTTTATCTAGCTATAATAAAGATCAGACTGGAAGCTACAAGGGTCATGCTTATTTCTGTTGCCAATATGCAGCCTAGGAGTGGTAGTTTAATGTCTTGGGATCAGCTTGCATGTCTAAGAAGTAGTAGGACCATCCATACCATTTTCCATACCTTTAACCTAGAGTTTGTGTTGTGAAGTACATCGATCCCTGCATGGTTCCCTTCAGAGCTGTTAGTAAGGAGTGGCCCATTTGTCATTATTTAACAAAATGCACGTGCCTGTTTTTCCTCACAGGGAGAGGAGAAATTCAGAGGTTGGGTACTTCATGCTTTGGAGGCACTTGAGCAGCACTTGGGGGGCTGTGAACGTGGTAGAGCAGTTCACAGACACAGTCTGTGAATCTGAAAGCGCTGAGAGAGGCAGGTTGAGCACTGCAAGGTGCCTGTTTGTTAATAGCTTTTCCTGGTCAGTCTGGGTAAATGTTGCTACTGTTGGACTGGGGATAAATTGCTTTGAGGAGTGGTGGGATGTGTTTACAGCTAGACAGCAGAGGTGGAAAGCTCCATAGAATCATAGAATCTTAGGGGCTGGAAGGGACCTTGAGAGATCATCTAGTCCAACCCCCCTGCCAGAGCAGGGTCACCTAGAGTACATCACACAGGAACTCATCCAGGTGGGTTTTGAATGTCTCCAGTGAGGGAGACTCCACAACCTCCCTGGGCAGTCTGTTCCAGTGCTCTGTCACTCTTACAGTAAAAAAATTTTTTCGGATATTCACCTTGAACCTCCTATGCTCCAATTTACACCCATTACCCCTTGTCCTATCACTGGTCATCACTGAGAAAAGCCTAACTCCATCCCCCTGACACTCACCCCTTACATATTTGTAAACATTGATGAGGTCACCCCTCAGTCTCCTTTTCTCCAAGCTAAAGAGACCCAGCTCCCTCAGCCTTTCCTCATAAGGGAGATGTTCCACTCCCCTAATCATCTTCGTAGCTCTGCGCTGGACTCTTTCGAGCAGTTCCCTGTCCTTTTTGAACTGAGGGGCCCAGAACTGGACACAATACTCCAGATGTGGCCTCACCAATGCAGAATAGAGGGGGAGGAGAACCTCTCTTGACCTACTAACCACACCCTTTCTAATGCACCCCAGGATGCCATTGGCCTTCTTGGCCACAAGGGCACATTGCTGGCTCATGGTCATCCTCCTGTCTACCAGGACCCCCAGGTCTCTTTCACCTACACTGCTCTCCAGCAGTTCAGCCCCCAACCTGTACTGGGACATGGTGTTGTTCTTCCCCAAATGTAAAACTCTGCACTTCCCCTTGTTGAATTTCATCATGTTTCTCCCCGCCCAACTCTCCAACCTATCTAAGTCTCTCTGAATGGCAGCACAGCCTTCTGGTGTGTCAGCCACTCCTCCCAGCTTAGTGTCATCAGCAAACTTGCTGAGGGTACATTCTATACCCTCATCCAGGTCGTTGATGAAGATGTTGAACAACACCGGTCCCAGCACCGACCCTTGTGGGACTCCACTAGTAACACACCTCCAACCAGATTCTACCCCATTGACTACAACTCTCTGACTCCTTCCTTTCAACCAGTTCCTAATCCACCTCACTTCCTGGTCACCAAACCCATACCTGATCAACTTATCCACAAGGATGCTGTGGGAGACGGTGTCAAATGCTTTACTGAAATCAAGATAAACCACATCTACCGCTCTACCATCATCTATCCACCTAGTAATTTCCTCATAGAAGGCTATGAGGTTAGTCAAACATGATTTACCCTTGATAAAACCATGCTGACTGCTCTTGATGACCCCCATGTCCTTGATGTGCCTGGAGATAGTGACAAGAACAAGTTGTTCCATCACCTTTCCAGGGATGGAGGTGAGGCTGACCGGTCTATAGTTACCCGGGTCCTCCTTCTTGCCCTTCTTGTAGACTGGAGTGACATTTGCTATCCTCCAGTCCTCAGGCACCTCACCTGTTGCCCATGATTTACTGAAGATGATGGAGAGTGGCCTAGCAATGACCTCCGCCAGCTCCCTCAGCACCCTTGGGTGCATTCCATCTGGACCCATTGATTTATGGATGTCCAGATTACTCAACTGATCCCTAACCCAATCCTCATCTACCATGTCAAACTCTTCCTCTATCTTGACTTCTTCTGGGGCTATATGAATCTGGGGCTCATAGGGAGACCCTGCAGGAGTGAAGACAGAGGCAAAGAAGGCATTCAGCACCTCTGCCTTCTTTATATCCTCTGTCACCAGGGCTCCCACCTCATTCCTCAATGGGCCAATATTGCCTCTAGTGCTAGTTTTGCTAGCTATGTATTTGAAAAAGCCCTTTCTATTATCCTTAACCTGACTTGCAAGGTTAAGTTCCAAGGAGGCCTTAGCTTTCCTAACTGCCTCCCTACATCCTCTGACAACAGTCCTATATTCCTCCCACGTGAAAGCTCCAGAAAGCTTGGTCTGCCAGACTATTGTATACAAAGCTGAAGTGCAGAAACTGACTGTCCCTGTGCTTGTGGTGTCTGTGCACATCCTGGGAAGCTGCTGGCTAACTTGCAGAGATCAAGGATTTTGAGGGATTTTTGCACTTCATTGATAGACATTCAGGCCTGTGCTAATGGGGTTTTAATGAATTAGCAATGTATTATGTTTGAACGAGCAAAACAAATGTGCTAAGCCTCAGGCTCAGAGCCTTGCTTTCTTAAATTTGAGTGGATACATAGGAGCCCCACTGAGAAACACATCTGGTGGCTTATGGGAAGAAAACTGTGGTAGAGCTTGAGCCTCATCTGCCATTCTTGGGACTGGAAGATACATAGTTGCCTGTACCTCCCCCCCATACTGATCCATGTGTGCCAGTTGGATTACTGCATAATCTAGACTCCATACTGTATGGGAGCAAATTTTCAATTCAATGTATCAATCATGTTCAATTCTCACTAACTCTTTCCTTCTCCCACAATTACTTTTAGTTCCTGCTCCCAAGTCTTCTCATGAAGTGCTGAAAGAATTGGCCACAGATGTGAAGGTTCTTCCCAACCACTCCACACCTCATAAAACAGATTCCTATTTTAATCCTAAAATGAAACTCAACAGGTGAGAGAAGAGGGAGTGGGAGGATGCACCAGAGGGGTGTTGAGTTTGTAGTGAAAAAGACTTTTGTGTTTTGAAAAGGAAATCCTGTGAACTTTTTGTTCAAAGGGCAGGAGAAATAGCATTGCTGAGCAATAAGATATGCTTCCTGGGATTAGAATTCTATTTGGAAGTGCTTTTAGTTTGTCTGTTTGGATAATTCCTGTTAATCTGGAAAGTTTTCCATTAGAAAACTCCTTTGACAAATAATGTTTAAACCCAAGAACACTATGTGGGAAATGCTATCATTTCTGAAACAATTGAGTATTTTTCTGTAACGAGCAATTTCTGGAGAACTGGATTCAAAAAGAACACACTTGGGAACTAACCTCATTGTATACACCTCAGATGTTTTTCTGTGAATCTTTGCAAGATACCATGGATACTCACTGTTCTCTCCCCTCTAGCTGAGCAGCAGATTACCTTTATTTATTATATACCTTTCTTTTGGGACTCAGATTCTTTAAAGTGTCTTTTCATTATTTGCATTAAAAATATGGAGAAAGAAACTGTCTTTCTAAGGAGAATCATAAAGTCACCCCTGTGCCTAAATGACAGCTGCAAGGTGTGAGCTTTAACACCAACACATGGGACTGGGCTTCAGCCTCTGTGACCCCTACTGTGCTCAGTGCTGGTAACATTTTGAGTATCCAGGTTTGAAGCTGGCTCAGATCCATTTGTGGCAGCTGAGATGTGCTCTGAAGAAGCCATTGTACCTTAGGTTATGGCCATGTCCAGAAGAAGAAGGCCTGTTCCTCAACACAGTGGAATTTCATTGCTCTGCAGTAGTTCCTGACGTCTTTTTAAACACTGAGCCGTTAGTAGGGTAGTATCAGGTTGTGTTGGGAAAGTAAGAAAAACACTATTTACTTTAGAATGATGTCCACTTTTTCCAGTATTAGGGGAACTAAGAAGTGGGTTCAGGGTCTTAACCTCATGAATGTCCTGCTGTAGCCTTCAACTTCTAAGGGTAGTTGAGGTTTTTGATTTACAGTTCTTCCATGTGAAAGTTTGGAGTTAAGCTTAAATGTTCTAGTACTGTATTCAAAGGAAGTATGTAAGGAAAAGGAAGGAAAAATGCTTTTTCAACTTACTTAGTATGATTTCTGTTTTCTAGGCAATTGATATTCTGTGCCCTAGCAGTTTTGGCCGAGGAACGGAGTCCAATAGAATGTTTGGATGCCTTTGGTGCCACTGGTAAAGTCAATTTATTTAATCTCTTGGTAATATTTGATAGTATGAAGCTGCAAAAATCAGTAAGAACTGACATTGCATATTAAAAAATAATGTGAGGCAATAATTTTTATTCCTTAGGCAAGCAGTCATTAGCTTCCATTAAAAAAAAACCAACATCCTTCAAGATTCTGGCATTAGGCCTTTAAAAAAAAAAAAAATAAATCAAAGTTGCCTTAATGCCCATAAAATGGCATTTTCCTAAACTCCTCACATCCAAGGTCCCTGTTCTCTTGTGACTCCCTGCTTGTGGACTTTGGCTGTGAAATCAACCCGTAGTTTAAAAATGGGGATGGATCCAGGCTTCTTTATCTGAATCCTCTTTTAGTTGATTATAAAAATCCTGAACACGAAGTAAATGTGAAGGACTTGGATCAGTGTCTATTAACCATCTGAAACAAAAATCTGGAGATGTGTGGATGGCTGCCTCAGTATCAACCAGCCACCACATAACACGAGGGCAGAGTTTAGAGCAGGAACTGCTCAGCATTTTGCATAAAAAAATTCTATAGTGAATTTATCCCCTTTCTGAACTAGGCCAGACTTCACAAATGCATCATGTCCTGCACGTCTGCCTTGTAATCACAGACTCCATTAGGAAAGTCAGCACTAAACACTTGGAGTCAGCCTAAAAATCTTCTCAGTAGCTGTTCCCATGTTTGTGTTGTATGGTGTTCTGTCCCAGGAGTCTGTCTGCCCTCCTGGAGCACGAAACAAGCTGAGGGGCTCTCCTGCAGTTCCTGGGTCCAGCTTGCTGCCAGAATCACAGGTGTTGTGGTCTATGGTCCCAGTTGGAGGAGGTGACAAATAGACTGTCCCTTTACAGACCCTGTTGTCACTCTGTGCTGAGGCAGAAGGTCACCAACATGTTTTTGTAGGAGCATGACATGATTTGCAACACACACTTCTGTATCCTAAGCATTTAGAAAGATAAATTTTCTTTTTGGAGGGTTCAGTGACCCAGAAACCATCTCGTTATTCTGTCACAGAGTTACAATTCTGTCTTTCCTTAGGTATAATGGGATTACAATGGGCAAAGCATCTCAGGAGTTCTGTGAAAGTTACAATTAATGATAGTAATGAAAATTCTGTGACAATGATTCAGGAAAACTGCCAGTTAAACAAAATGAAGGTGAAATTGATTACTAAGGAAGAAGGCAACAATGAAACTGTGGGAGACGGAGGAGAAAATACTGACACCATTGAGGTGACAAAAATGGATGCCAATGTTATAATGCACCTGAGAGCATTTGATTTTATGTAAGTGTTCAGTACTTCTGTTAATCATTTTCTGGTTTGATAATGATACACTCCACTCCATCTGCCAGTGTGTGATTATTTAGCAAAGTTGGAATGAGAGAAGCAACCAGCAGCCAAATCACTTGGTATTTTAAATGTAAATCTGTTGTCCCAGGAATGGGAACTTGTTTTAGAAATTGCTGGAAAAATATTAAGCCCTTCTGGCATCCAGAATGGACTGTGCATGAAAATTTTAAGCCAAAGTATATTTTGTACAACTTCATTGTCTGTTTGATAAAGATGAATTATGAATTTTTTTTCTTAAAACTTTCAGTTAGTTGAAAATCTAGACATTTGCATCTTGTTTGGTAGGACTTCATTGTATCTCTTGATTTAATCCATTTTGCAGCATATTAATTAAATTAATTAAATAAAATAAATTAATTGAATTAGGCTGGTTCTTGCAAGTTGGGTTTACAGATGTGTATATTCAAAACCTACACAGACAACAAAACTAGTTATTAGATTTTTTTTTTTATTGAGTAACATCCAGATCTAAGCTAATTAGTCAGCAGATATTCAGGCTAAAAATTAGTCTATTAAATACATAAACAGCAATGCATTCATTTAAGGATGTTTTTGTTTCTAGAAGTTTCCCTTAGTTTTAAGGATAAAGGAGAGCATCAGACCAGCAGTCTTGTAACATTGAACTAATTAGTGGGTTTGGATGAAAAAAATAAAATACTTGCTGGCTTGGCTGTAGTGTGTATTTTTTCAGCACAGTGATGCCCTGGCACTTTCAATTTGACACTTCAGTGTTCCAGAGATATTCATGAAAGGTGTGCTGTAAATTTTTGTTCTGTTTTCTGATTTTAAGTATGACAATAAGTGAAGCTTATAAAAGTGTTTTCCTGAGATTGAGGCTAAACTCTGGGGCGTCTATAGCTACTCAGTGGGACTTATTTTCTTTTCAGCCACTTGGACCCCTTTGGAACTTCTGTGAATTACCTGGATTCTGCCTTTAGGAATGTGAGAAATCTTGGAATTGTGTCCTTGACATCCACAGACATCAGTTCTCTCTATGCCAAGGCTCAGCACGTTGCCCTGCGCCATTACGGATGCACTATTGTCAGAACCGAGTACTACAAGGAACTGGCAGCCAGAATAGTCATTGCTGCTGTGACAAGGTACTGCTGAGACAGATTTGCTCTAGTTCTGCTAGAAACTTAATTACAAAAAGAATTAATAATACAAAACTTGCAGACTGCTGCTGGAGGTTCTATATGTTCAGTTTCCAGAATGCTTTAATTCTAAAAGCCAAACTTCTTGATATAAAAATTAATGTTTCATATTTTGTGTGCTGCTGGGGAATAATGCCATTTTAAATTAAAAGGCTGGGCCAGGTGAAAAGGCATTAAGAGGGTAGGGGTTTGGGATGGTGGGCAGGGTTTTCTGGTGGTGAGAGGGTTGGTAATGAACAAAGTAATCCCCAGACTTGCCTATCTGTGAACTTTTGTTCCTCAGTAAATTTTGTGGTCATTTTAGTGCTTCGTAAGACTTTGTAAATACTAAATAAACTGCTTGGGTGGCTTCTAGCTCAGCATTACAGGTAGACTTGTTTTACTGGAAACTGATGTTCAGTTCAGGTTCTTATGCTGGAGGTTAAAAAGATAGATGTAACTACTAGTTTGTGAAATTAGTCATTTACTCTCAGTAAATTCAGTCTGTTAAATAATTGAAGACCTAAAATCTGGTCCCTAATTGGGGAAAAAAAGATACAGACAAGAGGGTGGGACAACTGTTCAGGAAAGACAGAGGGATGAAATAAAGTGTGCAGAGGTCATCTGAATGGCAGAGCAAAAAACCTGACTTTTTTTTGTTTAGATTTTATTTCTCTATTTCCCTACATATGTGAAGTTGTTCCCTGCAGAACATTCTTAGTTACAGATATGCTGCTCAAGCAAAAGTTCTGATTGTGCTCTGGGTTACATGCTTCAACTGCCCTGAAGATTTCTTCTTCTTGATGCTCTTCAGGAATGGCTCTCCTGCCTTCCCACAGTCCTTATTTGATTAAGATTCAATGATTCACCATCATGTGTGTCCCTCTATGTTTTTGCTTTCTTGGAATTTCATTTAGCATGGTTATATTTTTGTTACAATATCCTGGCAGGCATTTGGATAGAAATGGCTGGTAGGCATTTGGATAGAAAGATGATGCAGATGGCAGACCAGGATTTCTAGACATGATAAAAATCAGTAAAACAAGATTTGCTTAGCTTTAGACAAAACTAGGCACTTAAGAATCAACACTTTCTCCTGGTGACCTTCTCAGATCTTTAGTATCTCTAGAAAGTGGATGAGTTCAAGAATCTTGCAGCAGGTTCAGGTCTCTGTGGCAATCTGCTGATTTCAGTACAGTGTGGTTTTGTGTTTGTTTTTTCTTCACAGAGCTGCAGCTCGCTGTAACAAAGGCATTGAAGTTTTACTGGCAGTAGCTCTAGAACATTTTGTTCTAGTAGTGGTCAGAGTTTTAAGGGGACCATCTTCTGCAGATGATTCAGCCAAGAAAATAAGATACCTCATCCATTGCCAGTGGTGTGAAGAGAGAATTTTTCAGAAAGGGGGTAATATGGTAGAAGGTAAATGAATTTTCCTTTGTACTTCCTACAAGTACTTCCTAGATAACTGTATCTTTGTTTTGTGCTTGTTTGGGCTTTGTTTATATTTCCATCCCTTTAGTAAAGTAGTCATTCCCTTGAATGGAACAAAGAGGTGGAGGTGCTATGAGATATGAGGTGGAGAAGGTACCATGCTTTATGGGAGTGGGTTAGATTTGTTGTCTGCATGGATTTTGCTGTAAACATACAGGATATATTCCAGCTAGCTGTAGCTGCTGGGATGCCTGATAACCACAATGATCTCTCCTTCCAGTGAAGGGCAAGAAGAGTGGGACAGTCTTTGCCACCATTTTGTTCCTCCATACAGTAGCAGCTTGATAGATTCAGTGTCAGGTTGCTTTTCTCCTGTTTCATTTACCTTAAAACCTAGTGGCTTAAACAGCATCACCTTCCCCTCAGGTGAGGATGTATGTTCTGCCTGGCCTGGGGCAGGATCTGTACCTGCCTGATAGAAACACCTTGCCTCAGCAGGTTGGGTAGGAAAGGAACACTCTGTTAATTCCTGTAATTCATCTATCACTTAGTGATAAATGGTGGCAGCCTTTCAGTTAAAAAACAGCTCTTTGTGGGCTGTCTCTGTACAGGAGTTAGCCAAAGGTAGGAGACTAAAATAGTGTGAATGAATGGGAAAGGAAAAACCTTGTATCAAAGTTACAGGTTCTTGGATATGTAACTGCCAGCTGGTGTGGTCTTCCAGTGCCCTCCTCAAATTCAGGTGCATGAGCTTGTTATTATAAAGATCTTTAAAAATTAGACAAAGTTCTAAGAACAGAAATTAAAAACTGCTAAGTACAGTGTTACTGTAGGGATCTTAATGGGTAAATGAGTGTTGGCTTTATGCCCTGATTGCAAGTGAGCTTAGCAGACTTGTAGGTAAGCTGCATTCTGTAGATTTAATTGGCTGATGTCTATTTTTTTTGTTGGTAATTACTGTTAACCTGGACAGTTACTTAGACATAAGTTTAGGAAGGCTAATTATTTCCTTGTTACTTGAAATCTGCCAAGAAACGTGGGAAGTTACATGGCTTTGTTTTTTTCTCTTCATGGTTTAACAACGATTAAATATCAAGTCATTGGTTGCTAAATTCTCGTATGCAGTGCTTGGCAGGAATGAGAACTGTCACACTTCTGCTGTTGCTTGGCCTTCCAGATACCCCCACTGAAGCCTCCCTAGTGAAGTGGGCCTTGCTGACTATTTATAAAAACTTGAATCCTGTTTTTCTGTTGCAGAAAACCCCTATCAGCAGCTGCCTTGTGATTGTCATGGCAGCATGCCTGGGAAGACAGCAGTGGCTCTTGGTCCCCTCTGGTAAGCTCAGAACACAATACAGAATCTGAGACTAGTTTCAAACCAGTTAATAACTAGTAACAAACTTGCTTTACATTTGACATTCAGTGCAATGTAGGTAGTATGTCCTGCACAGGAGAACCTGGCTGTGTTCTCCTCTACTTGCCAAATGTTAAGCAACTCTTTATTACTCTCTATTTGTGGAGAATTTATTTAGTAAATCCTTGCATGTGTTAACAGCAGTAAATTATACATTGCCTGATAACTAATACTTAGAATTTTCTCTTGAATGAAACAAAGATATATCTTTTTGCTAAAGGTCTTTTAACCATTTCAAAGCAGTATTAAAAATGGTAGTCAGTTGGCAGTATCTTTCTGGGATGGGTTAAACGATTTCCTCAGCATAGCAGGGCAGAAATAAAATTATCATTCTTGTAATCTTGATTTTTTTTAAGACCAATGCTCCTGTCCTTGGAAAAAAAAAAAAAAAAAAAAAAGCCACTTGATCTTGTTAAGAACACAGCCAGCCTGGTGCAGCACTTTGGAGCAATGAACCTGCTGATCCATTTGGGCAAGAGATTTTTGGAGAGCAACTTTTTTGCTTTCATTATGAAGTTGTAACTTTTCACTTGTCTTGCATTTTATAGGTCAGGAGGCCTCTTTAACACTGGGTTCCTGAGAAAAATGTTGTTTGAGGCTGTCCAGTATGGTTTAGATGAAGTTCAGCCACTTCTGAAGACATTAGTTTGTGAAGCAGAGTGCACAACTTCAAAGCATTTGTCTACCCACAGTTCCTACGATGAGAACAAACAAGGTAAGAAAAATGGCCGAGTGTTCAGAAGAAGGACTGGCTTCATGGCAATGCAGAGAGGTGCTGCTTTTTGCCAGCTTCCTACTGTATGAAACTGAATGCAGTGTGGGACTTGTCAGCTCTTGGCTGCTGGTCTCTGCTGCTGTAAAAAGAGGTCTGTCACAGGCAGATCTTTAAAGCAAATAGATCCCAAAGCAAATAAACACAACACAGGCTGGTTGCCCAGCAGAAATCCCATGTGTTCCCTGAAGGAGATGGAAATACTAAGTTCTTTGGTGTGTCCAATCCCCACCTGAGATCATGTGCTATTAGGAAGAGAGGACTGCAGCTGCCATGCTCTGCATACTCTGCAGGGATTGCAAATCAGTGTGCTAAAAGAAAGGGCTTTCTGTACAGGAATGCCATTCTACTCCTTAAATTACATCATGTTTTCAATAGCCCCAAGTTCAAGTTACTGACTCAGTAAGTAAAAGTTACCCACATCTGTTTCTTACTACACTTCCTTCTTGAGGCCAGAATGTGGTATTACTTGTTTTGTTTAATAAGGCATTTTGCTGTCTTACAGTAGAATTAATTTTTACTTTTAATTGTATTCTAGAAGAGTGTGGTGTATATATTAAAGCACCAAATAATTCTGCAGAATCCTACTTGCTACATGGTAAGTAGATAATTTTGGTGTAGCTCTAGCAGTTTCAAATTAAACTGTAGTTTAAGTAATAGCTAAGCAAACCTAGTGTTCACATTTTTTTATATTTAACTATACTGGTACTCGGGAGTTTTCTTCCCACTGAATACTGATTTTACTTCACCTTCATCCAGAATCATATTTACCTGGTAAAAGCAGAATTCTGAGTACTCCATGAAGCCTGCTTGACTTAGTACTGAAAATTGCACGTTAATTAAATTCAGGCTAGATTTTAACTTGGCAAAATACCGATTTCCACAAGCAGACACAAAGGTGTAGTTGCTACGTGGCTTGTTTCTGTATGTACTCACCTAGCTTCACTGGCATTTTTTGTGCTCCAGGCAAAAGAAAAAGTGAGGAGGTGATTCGGAATGCAGCCAAGAGACAGAAAGCTGAGCACAGTGCTGAGCACCCTGCTTTTTACTACAACATCCACAGACACAGCATCAAAGGAACAAACATGCCAAAGTAAGGGTTCTAAGTTCCAGTCTTGCATGACTGTGACAACAGTTTTACAAGCTGAGTGAGCCTTATCACTATTAACTTTTTTTTTTTTTTTTCCAGGTTAAATAAGTTCCTAAACTATCTCTCAGAAGCTGGATACAGAGTAAGTAGAACTCACTTTGATCCTATGGGAGTTCGCACAAACGCGCCCTTGGCCCAATTTAAGACTATTCTTATGAAGTACAGCACTCCCACATACACGGGGGGCCAGGCAGAAGGGCCTGTCCATCTAACTGAAGATGTCCAGGCAGGAGAACCTGTTCAGGCTGCCACAGAAAATGCTGGGTTTCTGGAAGATGATAAATCTGGCATTTCTGCTGCTGTGTTCACAAAAAACTACCCTACGCACTGTGCAGCTGATTAATGCAGATCAGGAGACTACAGACTTGCAAGCACACCCTGTTGGAGTGAGCCAGTACTTCTTACCAAACTGGATTTTAAAAAATTTGAGTTGCCTGCCCTTTTATTTTGAAAATACGTTTTAGAATTCTGTAGCAGAACCTGCCCCTGGTTGCAGCATGTGTGGTCTAGTTACTTACTGTGAGAAGGTCTCCAAGACAGAGACTTGCTTTTCTGCTCAGGTCCACTTTGACACTGAGGCACTGTGATTGCTCATGAGTCTTTGTTAAAGCTCAGAATCCAGAAGGTTGGATGGGGCCAGAAGTCTTAAGCATTTCTGAGTATGAGGTGAATGTGAAATGAAATATTCCTAAAATAAATCATTCCTAAAACCTGACTGGTTACAATTCAGAGAGGTCATGTTAAGATGATAAAATATTGCTGGATAAAATGTGATCTGAGTTTAAGCAAGCTAGAAAATCCTGACTCGGTGCACCTCTGGCTCCAGAGTGGATGTGTAGTTTGGCATTCATTTCTGTTTCCCTAGTTCTGCCTACATGCAAGGACCTGACAGGACAGAAAGGAATTAGTCCCATGACTGTTACTCAAACCTCATTTTATAACCAAACTTTAGTGAACTGTTTTAACCCCAGTAAGTAGTTTGTTCAGAGACTGTGTTTGGCTGAGAACTGCAAAAAGGTGCAGCGAGAGGGCACCACAAGCTGAAGTGGTAGGTGAGGTTTTGCTATGAATTTGTCAGTAAAGCAATCTGAGCTGTTGAAAAAGGTCTCTTCTGTGAATGAGCAAAGATGCTGTGTGTTGGAAGTTGGTTCTGGTTTCCTTAAATACATGGCAGCATTCCAACCAAATAAGCTTGACTTGGTCGGTTCTTTCCCCCAGAAACCTGCCAATTTACACTGGAATTGGGAACTGGCTGCTGCAGTTTTTCACAGCTTTGGTGTTGAGCCTGGCCCTTGGTGCCAGGTTTACCCCAGAGCAGAGTGTGAGGGGTGGTTATTCTTATTTGTCCTTCTCTGAAACTTCACAGTATGGGTCTTGCTTCTGTACTTCAGCACCAACCAAGAGTCTCATGACTGATGTCTTCTAATCATGCAAAATTTCTTAAGCTCCTGTCAGGCCAGAATTAACCATCTTAAACACTATCTTAAAGTCAGAACTGCTTTGGTAATGAGTTATTTTTGTCCTGTCCTAATTTAAAAAAGAGGAGACCACTAAAAGGATAACAGATTGTACTTCAGGTGCAACAACAAACTGTTTCCTTCAAAAGTTGAGTGCTTATAGTTCTTTTCCAGAGATAACTTGGGATCAAACTGGAAAGATAAATGCAAGGAGAAATACAAGTTCAAAACAACTTACGTATTTTTTTTTAAGTAGGGAGACTGTTTGGAAGGCTGTACTTGAAGATAGCACACTGCTTCACCTCAGTCTTCATGTAAATGGGATAGATCCAGTCATAGGCCATTAACTGGAGCAAAAAAAAGTGTTCCAGTTATAGGAAAGTAGGCTAAAAAGAAAGTTTTAACTGAAGACTGTTGTGGGAAGTATTTTTTATTACTTTTACAGCTCCTCCTCAATTACAGAAGGTATGGTGTCTCTTTTCTTTGTCTAAGCAACTGTTCATCGGTGTTCACAGCTGTGCTAGAGGAGGGACAGAGAAAGTGAAGTTCATGCTTGTCCACACAATTTAGGCTTTTTTCCTCTGTCAGGTGGGCAGAAGCAATCATAATTTGGGACAAGGAGACCAGCTGAAGAAGCATTTGTAACTCAGGCCTGTGAGGATTCTTTCTGCTCAATAGTTTTCTTAGTTCTTCAGGTAGGGTTAGTCCCACACTAATTAGTTAACTCTAGTCTTGGCTCAAAGCTTCTCCCTTTTCTTTCTTGATACTGTTAAAAGCACAACTAGCACATTGTTCTTCTGCAGTATGGAAACAAGATTTGGGGAGCAGAGCAGCCTGCTTGGCTGTGCCTCAAAACACACTGACAGCACAGCAATGCTCCGTGCACAGCAGCATGACCCAAAGCTGCTCTGATCAATTTGGGTCATCCACAGTGCCACAGGTGCAGTAGTAAATATAGTAGTAGATAAAGTAGGATAATGCAGGTGTTGGTGGCAAGCTTATTGCTGATTTCTTTTACATTCTTGGAGCTGATCCAGGCCTGAGCTGATACTTTTTGTACCACTTCTCCGCCAGGCACTTTGTGCCAGTCTCACTAATGACAGACCTTCAGCATGCAACCAGGTCTTTGTCAGATCAAGCACTTGATGCAAGTGGCTTGTGCTGAACAGAGAATCAACTGATGAACTGCTGGAACCATCAGGATACTGAAATCAGTGTTAGGTTATCAGCTGATCATGCTGGAAGACAAATGCTAGAGGATGATGGAAAACGCAAGTTTTAGGATATGATTTAATTACCAGTATGGGTAGTACAGTGGCACCTCTGTGGCTTTTTAGCTGAGGGACATTTCCACCCACTCACTGCATACAGCAGAGAGCTCTCTGGGTGTTTTCTGTTTAGCTGTGATGGAGGAAAACTTCAAGGGAGTCAAAGCTCTTCAAAGGCAGCTCTGAAAACCAGTCATCACAGTGAACAGCAGGAGGACAGGCAAGAAGGGGCCTTCTTCCACACATCTCAAAAACCTCACTCTTAGTCTGCACAAGCATTCCTTCTTCAATTCATGTGCGTCCTTCTGGTTAAAACAGCAGAGATAAAACAAGGAAAGGAACAGAACTACACTTTTTTAATAATGTACCTTAGCCCAAGTGATTAGTTACAGTTGTCCTCCACAGTTTTCTGTTAAAGCTGTGTAGTATATAATGAAATGCAACCAAAGTTTCTGGGTTTAACCTGGATGCTGTGAAGCTCCATCCCAGCTCTAAGGCTCTAGGACCCAATGCAGAACAGCAGCACCTCTGACAGGTCTCTGCAAAAGCAGTTTTGTCTTCATGCTCCACCTCACCTCTGCCTCCCTCATTCAGACACTTCCCTCTAGACAACCACAAACTTGGCAGCACTAACAAACAAAAGCTCCAAAACACACCCTTTATGAATTATATGAATTTCCAGTAGGTTAACTTTTTGCTTTTATTGTCAATGAGAACTTCAGTGTGACTTTAGTTGGATACTAGAGCTTACCCATACCTAGCACACATTATGTACTTCAAAAATAAGATGGTTTTAAAAGGTAGAAGAGTAAAGTCATTTGGAAAACAAAATAGTTTTAGCACTAAAGAGTCATAGTGCAACCACTGGTTTAATCAAACAGCTACATTATATATATAATATTTAAAGAACATAAATATCCAGTAAATTCACTACAACATGAAAATAAAAGCTTCACATTCTTCCACACTTTTGAAGGACTGGGGACAAAGTGACAGACTGTTCAGCTTCACACACTTTGCTTAAGGGACTGGACATCACCTTTGCTATCACAATGGGAAGGTATGCTGCAACTATTCTAGAAGTTTCCCCAGAAAATTTAAAGCATTTATAATCACTGCTTCCCCACCCCCAGATTATATTTAGTGGACATGCACTACTAGTCTATACAATGCAACATTTCACCAGAAATTTATTAATCATGTTTTTCCTTAAAAACTGCCCCTGCTGTGGTCTGGAACTTGAAAACCTAGGTTTCATGTCAAAAAAACCACAAGTTTTTGAGTAACTTAAAGAAAGGAGCCTGTGCAGTTTTCACACTGGGACAAAGCTGATCTGGAGCAGCAGTGGGAAGGGACATGTATTTACAAGTGCTAGTCTTGACAGACAGAAGTGCTGAAAGGGGACTTCCTTCCCAAGAGAATCCCCAAGCATCTGAATACTTGGTACCATGTGCCAAAAACAGTCTTAACTGCAGGCAAGACAAAGAAGGAGCAACACTGTATTTTAGTTCAGAGTTCAAAGTGTATCACCTCTTGCCTCTCGGCAAGATTTTTTGCTTCTAGCTTCAGGTGCAAATAGGCAAAGGCTTCATCAGCAAGTCTTGCAGCCCAGGGGACTCCCCCAGTAACACCACTGCCCTTCAGACAGGATGCCAATATGTAAAGCAACCCCCACAAAGAGACAGCAAGGGCCAGGGTGAGGGAAGGAGAGTTGAACATGCAAATGAACAGTAGCTCCTGGACTCCACACAACAGCCTACTGCCAAGCTGGAAAACTTGAACCTAAATTTAAGACACTAAATGGTAAACTTTGTCAAGTACTAAAATTGTCTTCCAAAGTGCTATCATTTGTTAAAGCTATAGCAAAAAAAAAAAAAAAGGAAAAAGAAAATACAATCTTCGAACAGCTTATGGTTGGAGCCCTCCCTGCTGGAGCTGAAGCCCAGAACCTCAGAACTGGGGTGGCACAAATTGCACAGAGCAAAGCATTTTGATGTTGCATTATGTCCATGTGCTGGAATTGCTTTTTAAAAAATTGTCTTAGGATTGTTCTTTACAGAATACTCTTAATACATTCACAGTAAAAATCAGTTATTGTAGGGAACAGAGTAGGGCTGTAAAGCCTCCAGATTTTCTTCAGCTAAGCTTGTGAGGACAGGGTAATGCTGCAGCAGGGGCCAGATGGGAGCTGCAGTGTGCACCACACCTGGAATGTTCTACACGGGGAGGAGTTCTGGGGTTTTTTTGAGTGAAATACTCACTAAAAAAACAATCTCAGGAACCACCTTGCACTGATGTATTAAGCCCAGTAAACAGCAAGGTTTTAAAGTGACGGTTTTCTCACTTCAGCTCTATTTGTTCACAAGAAAATAGTTCACAAGACTAGTAAATCTTTTCCAGGGAATCTGATGTCCTCGAGCTGCCAGACTATCATAAATCAGTTCTCTATCTTTTACATGGATAACCATTAGCAAATTACAACATTTAACACATTCCTTGGCATATGATACTATTGAATAGACTGACTTAGCCATCCAACGCTCAATACTTCACAGAGGCTACTATAAGTGTGTCAAATGTATTAGAAATCCAGATTGACCTGGACAAAATGAAGACATTCCAAAGCGGAACACTCGTTCAGTTATCATGCATCAGGAACTAAAAAGCATGTCAAACACTGGGATGCACAGGAGAAGGTCATTTAGTCTCCTACGGGAAAACCAAAAACCCAACGCAAAGACTAAATTAAATACAACCCAGAATACTGTCTAATCATTAATAAGTATACTGAGAGAGCCTGAAGGCATCATGTGTGTTGTCCATGAATGGTGGTGCCTTCTTTTAATATTAAAGAAGTCATAGCTATAAAAAGTTAGTTTCATCTCACTCTTCCAGCACAGCTTATTTATGTTCCTTTGTGGGTGCATAGTACAGTTCCATGGGTTTGTTCACTTTCCAGTACTTCTCACTGACCAGTTCCAAGGAAAATGACCCATTTAATACCTAGAAGAGAAGACCAAAACAGAAATTAAGTCAATCCAGAGGCATACTGTTGAAATCAGGGGAATGCACTGACTGATGATGTGGCACAAGTAATTCGCTAAACCACTCGGCGCAGAAAAGCAGCAATGCAGGCTGTTCTGAACTCCTGCTGGTGGCACTAATACAGCACTGAACAACACACTTGCAAAGTGAAGCTAGTTGTAAATAACTCCTTGCTGCAAGCAGAGGGAGTGGTAGATGTGTATTTACACCAGCAGCATTTCTGCTTTTGTCTAAGGGATAATCTGTAGCCAGGTTTGAAAGCTGATTCTTCTTGCAAAGAAGATTCTGATTCTTCTTGCAAAGCACTTGCCTAGCTCTTAACCAGAAGACTTGTTTTATTCAGATAAATGCCCAAGTATAAGACCAGGCTCAATCTAATCGTGCCCTGTTACTGTACCTGTATCTTCTGAAGGGATTCTTCCCTACGTGTGCTCGCAGCTGTTTCATAGTGGAACATTGGAAGGCTGCACAGAAGTGGAGAAATGCCACTGTGCAGTAGACACTACCTGGTGCTAGTTATCTGCTCCTGAAACAAGATTCTCAAATTAAGTAATATTTTTCTTCTTTAATCTCAACTGTAAGATGATGGTGTCAGTCAGTGAGCAGCTGCTGCCAACACTGGCTTTTCCCAAGCAGTTGACACGCCTCCTTTTCTGCTACCCAAGCTTTTGCTTTGTGTTTTCCTAAAAAGCAGCTGATCTGCTTCTACATAAGAAACCTGGCACTATGAATTTCATCTCTAAGCCAACTCAGGGAAGGTCCAGCTGAGTGGATTTTAATCAAAGACATGTTGATGCCCACTGCTACTCTTTGACAGCAGTTCTACTTACAGTGAACTGCCCGTTGGCCGTAGCAATGTAGATGGTGTACTGCTTCTCACTGGCCGTGTCAAGGTTCATCTGGTTTGATTCTCCTTTGCTCCGAAGCTCCTCCAAAGCCAACCTCACAGCCAGGTACTTGGACAAGTGATCCACGGTGGCATTGCCTGAGGTCTTGATATATCTGCAACAACCACCACAAAGATAATCAAAGACATCCGAGTTGCAGGTATGGAGAAAAGACACGTGGAGCACCCCCAGATATGAAAGGCCTCTAAAGAAGTTCACAAACAGGAGCATTAATGGCTTCACCCAAGATGCACAAGCAGTTTACCAAATTATATTGCTCTGAAGTGTCCTTAGATCTTTTTGACACTTCTCCCACAGGCCCTCCTGCTCTTTGTAACTTTGTAAAGAGCAGACAGCACTGTCCTCTCATCTGCTAGAAATGAAAAAGCTGGTAACAGGTTGTCAAGGATTTAGAGAATTACTCAGACTGCTGAGATACAGTCTTGAGTGCCTGGAATGAAAGCTCTACATGGGACACTCAGCACCTTGCTACTCCTCCTATTGTCTCCACTATCTGTCTCACTTTAATTCTTCACATGAGAATTCAAGGCTGACAGGAACACTGAGGCCTCTCCCAGAAGCTCAGCTTTCTCTTTGCCATTCAGAACAAACCTCAGAACTCTGTTGCAATTCCAAACCAAAAAGAAAACCTGGCTGAAGCTCTCAGTGTCTTTGTAGGCACTGCAGAGAGAAAAAGGCAGATCTGAGGAAAACTCCATGAGACTGCTCATTGCTGTGATCCAAAATTTGCAGTCTGTGTGGACTGGACCATGAACAAAAAAGTCAGGAAAAGCTTCAGCCTACAAATCCTGCTGACACAAAGCTGCTCTGAAAACTGCTGGCACTTAAACTAGGTTCTTTTATTCCCAAAGAATCTTAGAATAGTAGAAAGGGTCTGACTTTGTACTATCGTCCTAGTACCTACTGTGAGCTGCAATGCTAGAAACACTTAAAACCATGTTCATTTGTGATCAAAGGCTTAACACAGATTGTCACTGCATTGATAATGGCTGAGCAGTACCATCTACCTGACTGGCAGTGGCAACAGGGAAAGAATGCCTAAGGTCACACAGCACGAGGTATGACCCCAGCAAATTGATTTCAAAAAGCCTCAAGGAGTGACCGACAACAGAACCACCAGAACACAACATGACAAGGAACAGAAGACATTTACCTTGTCTGTGCACTGTCATCATTCTCCATGAGGGTTGGATGAGGCCTGAAGACTAACTCGATCTCACTAGCACCGTCCATCACAGGGTCAATAGCCACTGTGGTGTTGTTATTGTCCAGTTCCAGCCCCGAGTCATCTGACGTTTTGGTCCTCTTATTGCTGGGCCCTGCCTCCTGGTTGCTGTGTGTCGAGGCATTGCTGCAGTGGGAACTGTCACCATTATCTTCTGCTCCACTGCCGTTCTCAATCTGTTGCTTCTTGCCCCTCTGTAGCCTGATCAGAAACGGGCAGAAATAAACCCTGATCTGCAGTCAGACTTCACCCCAGGTACAGGCCCACAGGCTTGTGCAGCTTCTCCCTCCCACCTTCTGTCAGGCCAGAAGTTGGACAGGTGCATGTGCAAGCACTGAACTTCTCAGAGATAAAAGTAACCTAATAATGCATTCTTAAGATACTCACAGGTTTTTTCCCTATCCCTCAAACACTTTGTAGACATTTTTTAAGACCATTTTTTTGCTTCATACAGCTCTTTTTCAGGCAATTTCAGACCATTCTTTTCATCTAAATATGAATCCACATGTGATTAAAATCTACATTGTACCGTGCTGCACCACAATGTAGTTTGGGGCCTCTGTCCCAGCTGGCTCTCTTGGGTTTAAATACATGTCCTGAATTTCACTTCTGAATAAACACTCTTATGTTCCAGCCTTGTGAACTAAAGTTCTGGCATGATGTGCATTTATTTGCATGCAGTGGTAACGTGTTGGTGCAGAATTCATTGTATGACAGTTTATTACCTAAGAAATCAGCCATCATTTGGCTAAGGTGAAACCTGCTGTCTACATCAGGCTGCTACAGACCTTGCAGGGAGCAATACAAAGGCTTCTATCAGTAGACAAAAGGTTAAAAAGTATTTTGCCAGAGGTTAAACATTATTTTGTCAGACTTCAGAGGAGAGATGAGGAATCCCAAGGTACACAGGGAGCCAGGACAGACACCGTATTTTTAGTGTTAAGGCCAACAAGTTTACACGTGGACAGAGGAAATGGTCTCAAGTTGTGCCAGGGGAGGTTTAGATTAGATATGAGAAGAAACTTCTTCCCTGAAAGTATAAACACACAGGCTGCCCAGGGAGGTGGTTGAATCACCACCCCTGGAGGTGTTTAAATCCTTGTAGATGTGTTGCTGAGGGACGTGGTTTAAGCACTGGGCTTGGTAGAGTTAGGTTATGGTTGGACTTAGTGATCCTAAAGGGCTTTTCCAACCAGAGGATTCTGTGGTTCTGTGAAATTAGATAGATTACGTACCTGTTCATAGCCTGAATCTTTAATCCCTCCTCAATGCTGTGACTTAGAGCTTGCTGGTTATTGTGTTTGCTGATTCTTGCCAGCACTCGCTCCTGGTGAGCTTCGTATTCATCTCGGCTTGGGTAAATTTTACTGATGAGAGCATCAAAATTGGGATCTGGTCTCAGTGATCGTTTTGAAACCAGCTTTTTACGACACGTGGGACATTCTTTGTTGCTGGACATGAACAAGAAGGAAGAAAACCAAAATAACTCCCCAGTAATAGTAGAAAGTTTGCCTTAATGCTGCAACTCCTAGTCAAAGTGCTCACTAAGACTCAGTATCAATAGTACATCTGGAATGGGGCTTCAGTCTTTTAACAGGTCAGGTACTTCCAGGTATTTAAACAAAAAACCCAAACACATACCCCCCTGCTTTTTTTACCACCACCCCCACCCTTTTTTTTTTTTCATAGTATGTTTAAGCAAACTGTATTTAGACTGAAGAGTTCTAAAGTTTCACTCTGCAAACCAGTTCTTCCCCTAACCCTCTGGGTAGATTTTCACCTAGAAAAAAATGCATCTCTAGTGGGAATTATATTAAGGCAGAGTCTTTCTAGCACTCAAGAGGACAAGAAAAAAAAAAAATTAAAAAAAAATATTAAGGAACCTATTCTGTGGTTGAAGCACTAATTACTGGGGAAAACTGAAACAATCTTCTCCTTCCTACCACGTTATTCTCATTTAACTAAAATGTTGGGTTCACACATTTTTTTGCCTGTAAGAGGCCTCAATAGCTAAAAACTGGCATCTTCGGTCTTGATGGTTTGCTTGTTTCCCTCTGATGTGTTTTTGCTAATTACTCATCAGAATTTACACAGACACAGCAAGTTAAGTGTGACCTCTGAACAAGGTAATTGCCATTATCAGGAATAGATACATCACTGACTTAATCTCTGTTGGTTACCTCAGATTTCTGTTGCTTTTGGGAAAATATGAACTTGTAATTGAAAAATTCCAGAAAAAACTACTTGTACTTCAGTGTAGGTTGTTTCAGTAGCAAAGCCTGGAAGCAGGACTGCTGAGAGGCCACACAATTTGCAATTTATTATTAGGAAAAGGAAGACTAAGGGAAATGAGACTCATTTTTGTAAGCTATGTAGTATAATTTTGTTTGGCTGTTACTGAATTGAAAAAAAAAAAAGAAAAAATAGAAGATAAAAGGGGTTTTAAACTGCTTGCAACAAACAAAAGTTAGGGGGTGATTTTTCATTCAGGGCAAAAAGTAAGTCTGCTCTGCCAGAGATGGCTGAACACCCAGGAACAAACTATGAAAGATGTGCCACACGTTCAGAACCTGGCAGTGCATGGGCACTTGCTCCACATCAGCACCCAGGACTGAGAGGCTTTCCTGGGTCACACTTTCCTCTCAAGTGAAATCCCATTTCCCTGCAATAATACTGACATACCCACTCCTGAGGGCTGTGATGATACAGTCGGCACAGAAGCGATGCAAACATTCTTTTGTGGTCATGGTGTTTTTTAACATATCCAGGCAGATGGGACACATCAATTCACTGTGCAGGCTCCTGGGTGACACCACGATTTCCAAGCCATCCGTGATAGCTTCCTAGCATAAAATAGAAGCTCTTTACACAGAATTGAGTAACTTCTTCACAAAACCTGCATGTTTTACTGTTCTTTTTAAAGAGAATCACACTAAAAAGACCATACACAACCACACTGAGCACAAACCCGTGCTCCTAAAGAAAGGAAAAAAGAAAAAACAATAACATATTTATTGTTTTTTAATATTACGAGAGAGGTTTTGTTTTGAAAATATCCTATCGTTTAGAATAGGCACTTAACACTCCTAAAGGAAAATCTTAAAAAGTCAAGCTTCACCTTCTGAAAGGTATGAAAAGAAGCCAGAGGTGTTACCTGGGGTGTTCTTTGCAGTTCGTACAGACTGAGCTCCCAGGTTTTGCTCAAGGGCTGCGTCCCGTTGGTCTGCACGGCTTGAGACATGGCTGGGAAGGAAAAGAGAAACAAGTTGCACACTCATGTCCATCTGGCTCCAGGAGCAGCCAGCAAGAGCAGTGGCCCCAGGCCCATGCCAGCAGTGCCAGAGCACAGGAGAACACTTGTTCATCCCAGTGCCAGGCTCTGCTGCGCTGCACAGGGATAATCCCCTGCTCTGTGCTGCTCCAGAGGAATGGAGGGAGTCAGCCAGCCATGAACGCTCTGCAGAAATCAATTAAGGTTGTTAAACAAAAGCAACATGGAACCAAAGGCCATAAAACTTGGGCTGTGTGGTGAGAAAGCTGCAAGTGGCACCTGATGGGGAAACACAAAGCAGCCACTTAAGAGACTTGCATACAGGTCACACGGGGTCCTTCCTAACTGAGCAGGAGGGCAAAATGATACACACAGCTGAACACATGCCCTGGAAGCACACTTTTCTTTTTCCTCCTGAAAATACATCACTAGGGCTTTCCCACCAGAAGTTCTGGGAATACTGAAAGACCCAGTGAAACCCAGTCACTGGGTCAGTTCCATCAAGAGGTCTGGCTTTCCTGAGCCTTCCCACCAGGCTTCAGCAGACATGCTCTGAATTTGCAATGACAAGGGGGCAGGGTGGGGAGTAGGAAGTTTTTAAGTTCCAAAACCCAAATAATTTACATGTTCTTGGGGCTTCTTGTGCATCAGCAGTGGTAGGCAGGGATTCCTGGAAATGGACAGGGCTAAAAATAATGACACTCCACAGATGACTGCTGCAGTCCCCAACCACTGCTGCAGAATTCACTTACAGGCAAAGGCACCTTTCCATCACAAAAGACTCCACATAAATAAAGCAAACACACACACAAAAAAAAGAAAAACAAACAAAAAATAGATAAACTAATGCTTTCCCATTCAAATACTGGGGTTATTGTACAAGGTTGTGCAAAACTACTACACATGGTCACTGCAGACATGAAAGAAAGTGAGGTTTGGGTTGAAAGGGACCTTAAAGATCTAAATCCAACCCCCTGCATGGGCAGGGACACCTCCCACCAGCCCAGGCTGCTCCAAGCCCCATCCAACCTGCCCTTCAACACTGCCAGGGATGGGGCAGCCACAGCTTCCCTGGGCAACCTGGGCCAGGCTCTCACCACCCTCACAGGGAAGAAAATTATGTTTCTGAACAGAAAATATTTTCACTCTAGAGAGAAGGGGAAATCCTCCCCATCTCTCAAAAAATGCCTGCCTTGAAGCAGGAAAACTTATGCCAGGCACTGTAGTACATTTGAAAAAATGAATGTAACCATCTAAGAGGCAGGATTGCAGCTGCAGACATTTCTAGTGGGTGGAAAAAGCAGAAATGCTTTCTTTGTAACTTTTTTTAATCTAGGTTTGTATTCCCAGACACTTCAAATCAGCAGCCAAATGCAGATTCTATTGGCACCTACCAGGTACATTATAATGCAGCTTCCAGTTTATCAAGTTTTGTATGAGAAGGGTCAGCCTCTCTGGAGAACAAGGTTTCTTTATAAGTTGTAATTAATTATTATGGGAAAAGTGAGAGAAGCAGTGCAGCAAAGATGATTATATCTACTTTTATCCAGGCACAGAAATTGGAGTTTTCTCACCTTATGGAAAAAGGAGGGAGGAGGAAATAAAGCCTAACATAAAGTAGCCATGTCCACTGTGATGTCTAATAAGTAACAATGTCCTGAAGAGGCACCAAAAGAAATAATCAGGAGCTGACAGACCATCAGCTCCAATTTTTGCTGTCCATATATTGTGCCCTAAAAATACAGTTTACTTGGCTCAAGAGAACATGTTCCTCTGTGTGGATCAGAACAGTAAGATGCCCAGCTAGGACCTTACCAACCCATTACAAATGAGAAGCCACCAGGGCCCAGGTGCAGACTGGCAGCTCCCAGTCTGGCCAAGCACTGGACTGGCCTGGCAGGGTTCTGGGCATTTTATTTAAATTATTTAGAGTTATGAATAATTATTAATTTAATAAGGGTATTAGGTGACAGATCTCAGCAAAGAAGCAATGTTGAAAAGCATACTAGTGGCCAAGAAAGGAAACAGTATTTCACCATGATCTAATTTCCACTGTTACTGAAGGTTAATTCCAGGCATACAAGAAGTCAGGTCCTTTGGAGTGTTTGTTGTGTGCTGTTGGCAGTTGATTGTTCTAGCAAAGGCCTGACATCATCTTGTGTTTGCACTGGATACTACTCAAGTGCTTTTAAAGCTGACACATTTCATTATCTTTTCTAATACTGAGGGAAATCTGCTCATCAAAAAAAAAACTGAACCACAGTCAGACTGCAGGTTAAGACACCTGAGTCCCAGTAAATCCAGGCTCCCTGAAGAGAAAAGCCAGCTCCTGACATGGCACAGCTCCATCACAGCAAAGGGCTCATCTGAGAGGTGCCCAGGGAAGGGGGCACAAGAGAGACCTTGCCTCAACTTGCATGTTTGTACTTGCTACCACAGAGCAGCAGCTCTGGGGGTGCCAGGCTGCCAGCACACCTGTGCCTGGGGCACAAGTGCATTAACACTAGCACTGATACTGCAGCCTTGCCTGCAAGCCCAAGGCTACACTGCAGAAGTGCTGTGATCAGTAATGGACCAGCTTTGTTCTAAAGGCTCCTCATCCGAGATGCTGAAGGTTTCATTCTCACCCTAGGGTGAGGGCAGTGAACTTTCAAACATTAAGGGGAAAAACACTGGCCTTGAAGCTAGCTGAGAGCTGGAGAAATCCACACAGTGCACTTTGTCACTAGCAAACACCTCCTCTGCCATGTAGTTAAAAATCTGAGAAGCAGTAGAAACATGGTCAGTTCAAACATGCTGAAAAGCAAATAAATCACCACCACCAAAAATCACACCAAGTTTTTCATCTGCTTGATGATTAATAGAGAAGCCTCTGATTATTAGGTTCTTCAGAAATAAAATAAACCCAAAAAGCTTCTATCACAGCACAATTTCATACATTTTCTAATTTTTTTACCTCTATGACTTATCTGTACCCTCTGGATACAAGAGGAAACAACCAGTCACACAACAGCAGGGCAATATGAAGGAGAGAAGCCACATTCCTGCAGGTAGATCAGACATCTTTCTCTTGGAGCCAGTGACAAGTACTAGTTGTTGTGATTTGTGCTGTAGCCAGAGGGCTAAGTCATTAAACCCCCCCCCAAACCAATATTCTAAGGACACCTGCTGTCCTTCAAGACTGACTGAATCTTCAAGCACAACAAAACTAGGCACAAACTTTGCAGCTCTGCCAGGAGGGAGCCAGAGCTGACTGATACAAGTATTACTAGTCTGAGAACCTAAGATGTTACAAATCTCTTCAGTTTTATTCCTTGCCTCTCCCCAGGTCCAAACAGTGTATGAAAAAGGGAACCAAGCTAACGTGTAGCTTGTAACCTGCCTAGTTGCTTGGTGTCTGTTCTAGAAGAAAACTGGAAGATGTGATGGGGGGATTGTCAAAATTGTCAGAGCGGGTACAGGATGTAGCCAGGATGTTTCTCAATTCTCCACCTTGGCAGAAGGCTAAAACCAAATGAAAACAAAACCCACCTGTGCTGTTCTTAAGGAGCTTTTTGATCAATTTTATATAACCAGGCTTTATCCACAAGTTGAATAGTTCCCTAACTAGAGCTGGGAGAAGAGCCTGCCCGCTTCAGTGAAAAGCCCTGCATCATTTCATTTGAAAGATGTGCAATTTAAGCCTGATTTCCTTGGAAAACAGGGCTTATGCAATCTCATGCTCTCTGCTCATCCATCTGTAGACTATTTTTCAGAACAAATTTGAAGACAAACGGCTGGGGTTTAGAAACATAAAACCAGAATAGTCCTGTTAATGAAGCACGGGAAAACAGGCAGATAGTTACAGCAAAAACAAAACAGTATGAAAGATGTGATCAGAAAAGCCCCTCAGGTCTCCTGCAGGGTTACTGACAGGGAATTTATGCTGGAGAGCCTTTCCAACATGCTTAGAAAAAGTCCAGCAGGGCAACATCCGTACTCATCACACACCATACGCACTTCACAAACTCTTAAACTGGAATACACTTCAATATTTGCACAAACACAGTCATGAGTCACAGTAGGTCGGACATATGGGTATCCCATTCCTGAAACTATCCAGTAAAAATCCAACTGGCAACAAGAAGACTTCAGGCCACTCAGAGCTGTGGGCAGATGGGCTGTTCTGGCTATAAGGCAGCCAAGGAGCTTCGACTGGTCTTATCTCTCAAAATTTGTCATTTGTGAAAAGTTACATTTGAACTAACCTTAATGGAGATCCTGCTGTAACCAGGGAACAGAGAACTTTTCTTCCAGGTAACATCCAGAGCCTCCTCTCAACCTAAATTATGCCTGTTTTAGCCCAGGCAAAGGCTGAAGAGCAACTACCCGCATGGCTATGTCAGCACACCTTGGGATCAGAGAAAGGGTGGGATGGTATCAAGCAGCTGGAAGAGATAACCCACAAACCCAGCTCAGGTGTGGCCACAACCCTACCAGCTGCTTTTTAACTTTAAACAGGGTACTGATCTCTCATACTTTCATGAAAAAACACTTTATTTGGCAGGGGGAGGAAAGCATCAGGCTCTTTAAAAAACATATACACATTTTTTACACGGTGTTAAATCTTTAGAAATGAACTGATTTTTGTTCCAAGTTTTAAAAGGTAAATATTTAGATTTAAAATAGTAAGAGAGTTAGACTTCTGTTTGGTATGCCAAGTTCAACAGCACCTTCAACCATTCTAATTTTTTTTTTTTTCCAAAGGATTAGTTCCTTTAAAAACAGGCATTATAGTGCAGGTACTTTGGTAGCTTAACAGGATTAGAGTTTTACCTTTTACTCTCTCCGATACTGTAACTAGTATTAGGGACAAATTCCATGCTTTGACCAAGTATTCAACTCTATCATTCATTTCAATTTATTCAATTAAAGCATTCTGAAGTGTGAGGGGTTTTTTCTGCTTTTGCTTTCTGGCTGAGAACTTGATTTTGAAAAAAAATAATTCTGGAAAGACATTCAAAG